ACGACGCACCGCCACTCTTCTGCATGCTGGGCCCATAATCTGTCTGTTGTGATCGGCGGCCTGTCCACCCTTTCAACCCGCTCTCGCCCCCTTCAGCCGTGTCAGGACCCCGCTGTCATGGCCAATGTTTACTGTGCTACTGAGCACCCCCCAAATCAATGGTGAGATGGTGTCAAATGGGGCTCAAATCCCACCACGCTGCCAGCGCCGCTCCCCTCGTGCGGTCATCTGCTGGTTTACCTTAGACAGAGGTTTTCAGAGAGGAAAACTAAACATGTTTAAAGCAATTAATGTGATTAGCTCTGCCTAAAGTGTTTGCATAGATAACATCAAAGGTAAAATCCACCCTGTGTTAGAAGCCTCAGCCACCAGAGCTCTGTGTTTATACCACTTCAGCCTGTGTGTTTGCTATGTGTGTTTTAGTCAGCTTCTCATGGATGATGCAGGACCCCACTGATGTACAATATATCTTCAGTTGGAAATGAAAACACACAGCATGACATATAAAATAGCCACGATAAGACCAAATCTGTCCACGTGAACACTTTTAATCCCCTTGGACATTCAACACAAGCAGTATACATGTATTTCATTTAAACACCAAATGAAATGAAGCCGACAGGGATCATTTGGACCCGTAGATCGGCCACGCTTTAACGTCTTACTTTAGCACAACGTTTTCATGCAGGGTTTCTGGTACAAACTCATGCCTAGAGGTGACAGTGCCTGTTGGTTTCTCAGCAGGCAGGAAAACCTCATGCTCTGGCCGTCTCCATGCAAACTGCAAGTGGTGATCCCGCAGTAATAATGTGCTTTACACGATTAACACGGTTTCCCCAGCGGACCCCTAACTATAATTCAGCCTCAAATTTATATTGCAGAAAAAAAGGAGTGAAAGAGTGATTATTCCCTTATACATAAATAAACTTTTGGCACATCAATAATAGCCATTTTTGTTTTCCGAACTCGAACGCCCGGCGCCGTGTTTCAGCAGTAAGCAGAGACCTTGTCTGTCACGAGTGGTACGGCAGCGTGGATGTTCATTCGCACAGATTTTATTAACTTTTCCCACCGTTGCTGCCTCTCTTGTTTTCATCCAAAACATTTGCCTGGTATGACTCGAGAATAATGTTTTCCCGCGTTACAGCATTGTATGATGTGAACTCTTTAAGACATTTTTATAGCTAAATGCTGAACCCCAGACAGCATGTGTTTGTGTAGTGTTGAGGAATTGTGAATATTTTTCCTCATCTTTCATTTCAGTCTGGCAAGCAGACGTTTAGCTGTGATCGTGCTGCAAATTTTCTGCATTTCTTTATGCTTACTTTGATAGCATCTCAGCTTTACAAGCTTATCTTTACCCAATCGAAGCTCAGCAGTCAGGGATAAATTATGAAGAACTTGAAACAAGTTTATTTATATGCTGGAAATAAAAGATATTGAAGCCTCGATTTTAGCATTATGGCTGTTAGGGGAGAGCAATATAGCCTCAAAGTTGTAGGAAATTTGCAATACTGGTATGTATGAAAATAACAAGAAAAATGCTGAAAAATACTCTACTGGCTTGCAGGCAGCAGCATTTATTAGTGCAAAGGGCATTTTCTATCCTTCTTTTTTCCAATGAACTGCTGATGATAGACGACCTCATTCGAAGTGTGAATCTGTCAAGGTGCCAGCAGCAGCAATACAGTACAATAGTCGTGACACAGGATGAGTCAAAGGTAAACACGAACGTAGCCCAGGTGGTGTTTTTCCCTGGAAATTAAGTAAAAGTGCAGCATAACTGCTTAACACGCTAACAGTCACCACCTTGTTACGCTTCAGAAACCTGTACAATATTGTCACATAATAAAAAATGGAAACTGAAAAATTCCTGGGATGTTGTCTGGGGTCGAACATTTGATTCAGCTGCTTAAAGCCCTCTGTTAGCTCCATGTAATTGCATCAATAACCTTCCTGTCATATGGAGTGCAACCAGCGAGTCTCCTGCGAGACCTTTCTTGAGTCATTTGTTTACTTTTGGGTTGCACATCAGCAGCTGCTAGCATCTCCTCCTTTCCAGCCGTCACAGCCCGGCTGTACTCGACGGTGTGTTTTTGCTTCAAGTTTTGTTGTTTCCACCTTTGTCAGTAACAGTTTTCTTCCATATGTTATTACTGTGCTTTGTTGGAGATCTAGCCTCTTGTAGCCAAACAACTTCCATACTATTAAAGAAGCTCTATATCATCGTCATGACATGCTACCGTGCTGACAGAGATGTTTGTATTATCATTTTACAATTGTTTTACATCATTTTAATTTTTCCGTGCCAAAAGTGGCTGTATCAGCTAACTAGAGCACATTTGGCTGTGAGGTGCATCCATGGAGTGTAAAGTAGCCTCACCTTTATGGATCTGGCTGAAGTGCCGATAAGCTCATTCTGTGGCAACGGTCCATCCATCCTGAATTCACAAGAGTCAGTACTCCGTCTTTAGAAAGGTCCGAATTGAATTAAACTTGCACACAATGATCGCCAAATGGGTCTTCACACAAACTGTGTTCAAGTCAAGCACATATGTGTTGTTTTATGGACGTTAACCTGTGAGTTGTGAATGGTACAAGAGCCGGATGAACTACTACGTCATGGATGTTCTAGTTTTAACTCACCAAATGAAAGCCAGTATCCTTCCTTCATGTTTGTCAAAGAATTGAACAAACATATGAACTTGTTTACTTCTGCTGTAAAGTTGAATCTATGAACTTTGAGTCACATTTGAATCCAGCTGGAGGTGGCCTTACAAGGAAGCGCAGACGTTGACGGTTTATCAGCTGCATTTTTAAACCAGAGTTTGCAGCTTGACTGAATGAATTTGTTTATGGGCCCTTTGGCACGTGTTGACTTAACCTGAGGGCCTCAGTTTTATCCATTTACAGCACAATGAGACGAGTACAGATTATGCAGACCTTGGCTGGAAATGCTTCATTTCAAACTTCAATACATTTTAATTGCTGATTGTTGAAAACTGATGAGAAACTGTTTCTCAGGTATCATAGTGCCACCAATATCCAGCTACAGTTTGGTGAGGAAATACAATTTTAAGGCATTAATAGTCCCATCTTTCTTTCTTTTTTACCAACTTTCAGTATTTTTTAGTCAGTCTCATTTTTATTTTGCAAATTATGATGGAAATCAAGTGGAAAAATGCAACTTATTAAGGTGAAAGGAAGCTTTTGTTCCATAGTCATCCACCCAAAGGTCTTACAAACTTTATGAGGAGCTATGCATTGAGTAGCCATAATTGGGCAGATTAGGACTCTCTTACTGAGCTGCTCAGTCACATGCATAAACCTGCAGATCAGCATGGTCACCCAAAACGGCTCTACCATGTCAGGCTTAGGTTTCGCCTATATTAAATGGAGCCTCAGTGAATAGAAGGTCCTGCCTGCACTGTGCGAGTGAATGAAGAAGACCAGGGATGAGTATTGAGTCTAGATGTAGCTGAAGGACCGTTAGAAAAATGGTGTCACTCTCTCCTTAGCTGTAACCTGACCTGTTGTCAGGAGGCTTCGCTAAAGGTCAGCGTACAATGGATACAGCGGAAAGGCCACAACACCCCTATAACAGCCTTGGAGCTGCAGTTTTATTTTGGTTGAGATCCATTCAGGCCGCTTCCAAAACTGGTTTTGAGTGGAAAAATTGTTTCCTGTATGAGACTTTGTATAAAATTTATGGTTTAAGAATTTTATAGTCATATTTTGACCAGAGTGGATGCTTTCCTGGCTCACTCTGAGTGTTTTAAATTTTATTTTCTTGACATGGTTTGAATGAAGCCCTCACTGGGTGACAGAAAAATGACTGTTCAGAAGAAGAGTCCTGACACAGCTTTTGCTTTTATACCGAGTGATAGCTAAGTGCATAAGGGTACGTACAAGTAAATAGAAAAAGGTACCAGTGAGCTGAACTTCCTTTTCTACTGTGCACCAGTAGACTTTGTGACTCTTTACACAGCATCCACTGTAGGGGGGCTTTGATGGGGACTGCCCTTTCCACCAGCCTGCTGTGTTTTCTCCTTAAGAGCAGAAGCGGATATGCGAGAAGCTTCATGAATCATTCACATGTTAACAAATCTGTGGTGTTCATTGGCAGAGTGGTCGGGATCAAATGAGCCAAGCTGGGTCGGCTATGAGCTTGTTTACAGTCACTGTCACTTGTCAGTCTAATGAACTATACACAGCAGCACACTTATCTCATGCTATGCATTACAGCCCATTAACTGCTGCTGTACGGCACACTCCAGTTTCCCGGCAATTTAGATGGCAGCCTCGAGACAAGAGCACTGCCATGAATGCGGCTGTTTTTCAAGTGGATGTGCTTTTCAACAAAGGTCTTTGGATCTGCAACATAATAGCCATGGAAAAAAAATGCTCGCACTTATACCACCCACATTATTAAAGTGGACAGTTTCTGCTAATTCCCAGGTCCATCTTTTATTCTCTGCTTTACTAGAGTGGCTTTGCACGAGTGAGTTCAACATAATCTTTATTTCTCTGGTATTGAGTCTTAGTGCAAAACAAATTGTTTGCAAAGTTGCATTTAAGCCAACTTTCTTCTGATTGGCTGACCCTTGTAACCGAAAGGTTTGAAGCCTGAGCTTGTGAATCACAAGTTGCTATCCTCGTGTTTAATCTGAGCATCTCCCACCGTAACAGCGTAAAAGGTTTTCTTTAAGTATTTAATTTCTTTTCCATAGCTAGTTAATATATCGTTTACAGTGAGCTCCATCTGTGTGAGTAATTATGAGACTGAAGGAAAGATTGGAACAACTTATCTCGGAGTCACATGCACACACATATACACAACCCACACGGTTCTAACGTTTGCCAGCTTTACACTGATTGATTTAAATTCTTTTGTGTGCATGCATGTGGGCTTTTTGCTTATTTTTCCTGTGTGGTCCTGTGCATACCTGCCAAAGTGTGGTTGCCTTTGTGCTCTAATCTCTGTCTCCCCTCCTCCACAGTTCGAGGGCTGTAACAAAGCGTTTTCTCGTCTGGAGAATCTGAAGATCCACCTGAGGAGCCACACAGGAGAGAAGCCGTACCTGTGCCAGCACCCTGGCTGCCAGAAAGCTTTCAGCAACTCCAGCGATCGGGCCAAGCATCAGCGCACTCACCTGGACACGGTCAGAATCCAAGCCTCTGCTCTCTCACCTCCCCCCTCCCAGTGTTTCACCAGAGTGTTTAATCTGAACTACTGATGTCTGCATATGTCGTCATTCACTTTCTTTGAAATCCATTTCGGGATTAGTTTGAGGAACTTATCTGGATACCGTGCTGCAATTGCATCACATCAGCCTCAATGTCAGGATGGATCAGGATGCTTTAAAAAAAGGACAAAAAAAATGTAAAAGACTGTTTGGCAGGAGTGTGAAGGTGGGCAGAGGCGACTTCTGTTGCCCTCTACTTAGCACCCACACTGATCTTTGAACTTTCAATAATACATCGCTGTATAGTTTCATTCATTTCATTTCATTTGGTATTTTCTGCCCACGTTCAGACATGTAAACACTTGACAGAGTAATCCAAACCACCTTTGTTTTAGTTCCTGCTATAGTAGGCGTCTCCATGATCATACACAACCAAACACAGACTACGGCTGCCAACAATAAACGTGACTTTTTGAACGTCCCCTCGGTGTGTGCGTGAGTGTGCGTATCGTGCGGTATCCCTGCTCTGATTTTACAACATTCAAATGCCTATTTCCACATCATGACAGTGTTAGACTTTAACTTGCTGTCAGTCAGTGAGCCGTGTGGCATTCTCACCCACTTTCCTCTTGCAGTGACATGCCACAGATCATTAAACGATCAGTGTCATTTGGCCAAGTTGCAGCTTGTGCCATAACAGGCTTGGATTGGGACTGCAGGCTCAGACAGAGCTTTGTCTGTTTCTCTGACCCGTGGAGCGAGAAGGAAAGGTTGAGTCAGCCATTGCTGCCACTCGTCATGTCTCAGTAGCCCCACCAATTTACCACCCACTTTATCACCATCCGTATGCCAGCACAGCTAGGGAGTAAAGAAGTTGTTGAGCTCAAATTATATTCTTAAGTACGTTGGGTTTCCTCTGCAAGGGAGAGATTTTTTACTTTTTCCCCTTTAAGTCAATAAATCGAATCCCAATAATTTTTTTCTGACATCTGAATCTACAGTCTGCGTTTGAAAGATTACTTAAATCTGATTTGAAACAACCAGCTCAATATGTGCCTCCCAATAAAACGCTGGACTAGAGCACTTTTAATCGTACAGTGCCCAACACCATCGGGTGAGAGCGCGACTGTAATTAAGTACTCATTTACTTGAATTTTGTGTAATTTTTAATGTATTTCTATGTTCTACTTATACTATATCCTATTTTAGATGCAAATATTCTGCTTTGCACCATTACAGATCACCACCATTCCCTACCAAGCATACACAAGTATGCACCACTGCTTTTCATGCACGTTGATGGTTTTCTGCACCATTTTTATTTCTGATTACATTTCTGAGTTCAAGGTGTGTAAGCGTGCGTATTATTGAGTAGTTATTTGAAGGAGTATTTCAAATTTGTATATAATGGACCTAAGTCCCTTTATAAAGGGGGCAGCTGTGGCTTACATGGTAGAGCCTACAATGCTAAAGCTCAGTGGGTCAATTTTTGTTCCTCTAGTCTGTATTTTTATCGGTTTAGCCGATGGCGCGATATGGCAGCCTCGCTTCTGTCAGTCTGCCCCAGGGCAGCTGTGGCTGCAACTGTAGCTGCCTCCACCAGTGTGTGAATGTGAGAGTGAATGAATAGTGGAATTGCAAAAGCGCTTTGAGTGCCTTGAAAAGCGCTATATAAATGCAATCCATCATTATTATTATTATTATTATTATTATTATTATTATTATTTTGGAGTAAGAACCAAGAGTTGCCTCCAAAGCATCAAAAGTACTGCATGAATGTGTCTGACTGACCGAATAAGACTTATAAGCTATGAGTGCTTGATTTGATTGTCAGTACCAGTCCATTTATTAAAATTTAATTGTTTAGAAATAAATAGGAAAACTAAATTCAGGTGTTGTGCCAAAAAGTGATCGTCGGGCAGAAAGTGATCCGCGTGAGCGCGCAGCTGCTTAAAGCTGCAGCGCCCAGATGACTTACAGCTACTTCTGTGCAACTGATACAAGACGCGGTAAACTGAACACCGCTTCAACCGTCTGTTTGTTGGAAAGTAGTGAATGCTCCGCATTTTCTTGTTAGTAACGGTAACAGCGTTGTAACGATTGGAATAGAAATTAGTTAGATTACTCGTTACTGAAAAAAGTAACGCCGTTACTCCAATGACTGAACACTGGTAATGCTGAGCGGTTAGAAAAAGAGTAGCAGTGGTCAGGCAGTGTCACCCTTGATTTTCTTCCCAGAGAAAGTAATTTTAGCAGTATTTTTGCAACCAGAATGTTTCCCCCTGTTTTCACTGAACTGGCCGTGCACCAATACTTTTCTATATGTAACAGTAAATTATCAAGTAGTAAGAGTAGAAATGTTAATGCAGACGTTGTGTTATTCTGTCAGTGTGGGATTTTCTTCCACTGCACACTCTTTCCACAGTAGTCCAAACGATACAGCTAATCTGGGACCCCGATGCTTATGGCCTCACATTAACACCCCACGATGGCTTTCACTGTGCTGCCCAGTCGGCTGCGCTGCCAGAAACACTGAGGAGGAAAATCATTTTAAAGCTTAATTATATTTATCCTACACAGAAGTTTTACTTCACTCTTTTATTTTTCTTTTAAAGCCGGGGCTCTGCGCTGTATCGAGTCGGTTTCTTGGCAAAACAAACAGAGATGAGTGGCATTATAAGCACTTTGGGATGACAACAGGTTACTTAGAGAAAACGTTAAAGTGCAGAGATAATAAAGTCTGTAAAACTTATCTTACTGAATGTAAAAAGTAAAAAAATCTCTATCACCATCCTTCATTTTAATTAGAAAAATGTGAAATGAAAGTGGTGTACTCCATCACGGTGTATCCAGTGTGCATAATCACATAAATGCTTCATTATTAAGAATACTCCTCAACATGGTTGAATAAGATCATTTATACACTCACTAGCCACTTTATTAGGTACGCCTTCTAATACAGGGTTGGACTACCTAATTCTTCATGGCATAAAACTCGAGTACTGGAAACATAATTCAGAGATTTTGGTCCATGAATATTGTTATATACATGATAGCAATAATTAGATAGGCTGTGTCATTTATACATGTGCCCAGAAAACATCCCCACACTTTAACAGCAGCACCAACCAGCTTGAACTGTTGATAAAGGCATGAAGGATTCATGCTTTCAGGTTGCTCACACCAATCCTGACCCTACCTTCAAAATGTTGCAGTGAGGTCGTAGTTTCCTGTTCTCGTTCTTGCTGATGGGCACCTTGTGTGGTCTTCTGCAGCTTCAGCCAATCTTATTCAGGGTTTTACGTGATCTGCATTCATAGATGTTCTTCTTCAGTTACTGTTACCTTCTTGCATCAAAAAGGCATTTCTGTGTCTTATTGAATGTTTTCTGTTTTCAGGCCGTTCTATGTAAACCGTAGAGATGGTTGTGCAGGAAAATGTCCGTAGATCAGCAGTTTCTGAAATACTCAGTTTGAACTTCAGCAGGTTGTCTTGAACACGTCTATATGTTGCTGCCGTGTGATTGGCTGATTAGACATTTACATTAACGAGCGGTACCTAATGAAGTGGCCAGTGAGTGTATTTCTTGCGCTGATATATTATAGTGTTTGTCTTTAAGTCTTTATACATTATTAATCATGCAGTATCGGTGCTGTCAGTAGCAAGAGAGATGGGTTTCATTGCTGAGTGAGTGCAACTGCAAGTGAAATACGATGCTTTAAACCCTGAAAAACTAATAACCAAAGAGATGTTGTGGTATTCAAATTTTTGTCAACTGATTGTCTTTTCTTTTCATCCTTTGTCTGGTCTTCCTTTTACCTCACATTATGTGTCTTTCTCAGCCGAAAGGTAGGACTTTATCTTTGCCTTTACTTACATAAGTTTCATATTTACTGCATGTTCATTTTTCTCCTTTCCTTTACAATTTTCTTTTTTAGCTGCTTATATTATTCTGTGTCTCTGTTATTAGAAAAGCTACATTTATACATTTTGCTCTGATAACTGAACAGAAATATTTCCTCCCTCCTCCCAGAAACCGTATGCATGTCAGATCTCCGGTTGTACCAAGCGCTACACGGATCCCAGCTCCCTACGCAAACACGTCAAGATCCACTCAGCCAAAGAGCAACAGGTGCGTAGGAAGGTAAGACACTCTCTGCTAGAGTGAGAAACAGGACAAAACACCTGTGTGTAGTCAGAGGTTTAAAAAGAAACATCATAGAGGAACCAAAAGTATGTCAGCTGTTACCGCTGACATTTGTTGTTTTCTTCATTTTTAAGTAGCAAATTAAAGCCAGTGGACACTTAAAACTTAAAAACTGCTGCAGCATGGTTCATTTATTCTTAAATAAATTGTTTATAAAATCGAAACTATTGAAAGTAGAAGGTTTAGTGAAACTACGGACATTATTAATTATGTTTAAGGCTAAAAATAATATATTACCTGTGTTTGGGAGGTGAGGACAGCTGAAGGAAATATCATTTTAAGCATCAGCTCGCTGGGACCACGGTTACGGGTATACGACTGTGGAACTCTCTTCAGGACCGGATGCTGCAGAACCTGCATTCAGACTGCTTCCATCAGGAAGGAGGTTCTGCAGCATCCGGTCCCGTACCAGCAGACTGAGAGACAGCTTCTTCCTCCAGGCCATCAGACTGCTGAACACGTCATAGACACCTCAGCTTCACTACTGGAACTTCAACATTATGCACTACATACTGTCCATTAATGCCACTGTTTTGCACAATATCCAACTACCAACCTCTGTATATTTTATATATTTTATTTTATTGCTTACTCTATTTAATTTCTAAAATATGTATACACACACACACACGTAGAAAAACATATTTAGTATACACATCCAGTAATGCATATACTATTATATATTGTACATATATTTATTAGTCTCAGATGTAGCCATTCTTATATTTTGCTTGTTTTACGTTATTGTATTTTTGCACAACTCTGTTGCTTGTGAAGCTCGCACACAAGAATTTCACTCGCATGTGCTGTACCAGTGTACCTGCACATGTGATGTGACAATAAAAGTGATTTGATTTGATTTCATTATAATCTTAAGAGTTTTACATTGTTTTAAAAAGTGTTACATGTTTAAAACGATAAATCAATATGAAGAATACGCAATAAATTCGAGCTAACTCCTTATTTTATTTATTTATTTTCTCCTTGTTATTATGTGCTGAGGTATTAGCTGTTTGGTCTGATAAATGCTCACGTGTTCATTGGTTAATGGTGCCCACTAGTTGAAATGTAGATGGGGGGGCAGGGTTTAATAAGAATATTTTCTTCTTCCTTCTCCTTTTCACTCATGGTTGCCGTGTTATATCAAGGGAAAGCCTGGTTTGTGTGTATGAAAGGATAAAATGTTGAAACTGTTGAACCAAGTGTGAAATAAATAAAAAATGAAATGAAATTTTGCAGCTCAAGCTGATCTTTTTCTGCAGCTAGTTTCCTGCATGACCTTATTCGGGTCATTCGGGTAGAGCTGCAACTTTAACAAGATTTGTTCTTTCTTAGGTCACATTATCTGCAGATCCATCAAGTTGCTCTAACTGAGGGGTTTTGAAGCATTTAGCTGTGTAGTGGAGTATCTTTAGAATCATTTCCCCAACAATAGATCAGGTTTGACCACATTTCATCATGCTTGTGGTCAAAAGCCCATTCTTTCCCTAACTGAAAGTGGGTAAATAAGAGAGAGAAAGGGCCCATTGTTGTGTAAAGGGCTGGATAGTGGCAGGCTGGATGATGTGTTTCTTTGCTTAGTGTCGTAAAGGGAAACACATGTGTGCTTGTAGCATTGTTAATAAGCTGTAGTGCAGAATACCCCAGTGGCCAGATGTTATGGACAAATGTCAAACAAACGCTCTTACTCCACTCTTGGATTTGGCCCAAAGCAGGAAAAAAAAACTTTAAGAGTGTCGCTGTGGAGAAAGCAGAGCCCCAATTACTTGCAATGAATGCTTTGCAGGGCTGTCTTAAGAATCCCCACAAGGACACATTTACTGATTTACGGCATCTAAATGTGAAATCAAAACATGGAAAATGCCAGCTGTAAAGCTGTTAGGTTTAGCTTTTTTAGGGAGGAGTTAAATCACTTGTGATTTGACTTTTCAGCAAAGCCAGAATCTTAAAAGATACAAGCCACAGATAAAATAATCTGTTCACTTACTGCTCTGAATGAACTCTGAGGGAATAATCTGAGAGTCGAGTAGATGGGATGATACTGCTGCTGAACAAGGGTTCCACCCACAAACTGACCACAATATCAGAACTCAGACAGATGGACAAACAGACTGAGAGGGTTGCAGTGATGTTGGAAAATAAAAGAAAATCTTGGATGACTTTGTCCTTGCCTGCAAATCGAGTACCGACACTTGACTTCAGTCGTTCAGAGGGTCCACAGCAACACTGCCAGGGTTTTATGCCTCTTGGCATCATGAAGTTATCACTCATTATTATTATTATTATTATTATTATTATACACTCCACTGAAAAATATGTATTAGTCAGCATAGTTATTATCTCAGCACGATTACAAAAACACAAACTTGATATACATTTAATGATGAAAGAAACTGGCATATTGGATTCAAATGTTTAAGAGTTGCACCAGCTGCTCTTTGGTTTAAACTAAGCCTGCTTATAATAGATGTTGGCCAAGTATAAACATAAAATACAAATTTTTCATTTAAAAAGTGTTGCTCTGCACAAACTGTAGAGATTAGTTTTACTATTACAAGTTTCACTGTTAAGTAGCTGAATCAACTAGCAGTGCCGTCGATTCAGCAGATTTTCAAACACAACCATCTCTACAGAGAACGCTCTACAAAGAGAGAATGTCCACTGAACCGCAGTTCTCTGTTGATGCAAGAGGTCAAATGACAATAACTAGACTGCTTTGAGCTGATAGGAAGGCAAGAGTGACTCAAATAACCACTCGTTACAACACAGTTGATGGTCGACAGCAGCAGAAGACCACGTGAGGTACCGCTCCTGTCAGAGAAAAACTTCAGGTTACAAATTGTGCAGGCTCACCAAAGTTGGCCAACAAGAGATTAGAAAAACGTTGCCTAGTCTGATGAGTGTCCCTTTCTGCATTCAGATAAAACATTAAGAATTTGGCATTGCTCCTTCCTGCCTTGTACCAGCCATTCAGGCTGATGGTGTTTTAATGATGTGGGGGGTGTTTTCTTGTCACACTTTAGTACCAAGTGACCAAAATTCAGTCACCACAGCCTGAGTATCGTTTCTGATCATTCCCATCACAGAGTGTGCCCATCTCCTGGTGGCTGCAGGATAGCACGCCATGTCCCAAAGCTCAGATCATCACTGTGCTCGCTCGGTCCCCAGATCTTTGGTGAAGTGTTTTCAGTTTTCAGTTTTATTTGTCATATGCAAGTTAGCACGGGGTCAACATCGCAATGAAATGTATTTGACGAGCAGCAGACAATCACTCAGCAGAATGGTACAGTAGAAAAAAATGTAATAAAATAAAATAATAAAAAATAAATAGAAAAATAGTAAGAGCAAAATATTAATAAGGTGTAGTAAAAGAAAAGAGATTTTCAGTTAACTGACTAAATATATGTATATGCGTGTATATATAAATATATGTACACACAGATATTGCACAGGAACGAGCAGCAGTACAAACTAAACAGTACAACAGTTTTTGTTTTTTGTGGCAGTTGTTACAGTATTGCACTTTTTCTAAACATAAATATCAATACAGTGGAGTGACCAGTGCAGATTATACAGTGTGGGAGATTCACGTCATGGATGTGACAAAATCTGCAACATCAAAATACACCAAAAAGTCATTTTTAAAAAAAGCATCCCTTTTATTCTGCAAAGCAGGTCTGAGCCTGTACTGTTAGCCTGTGTGGTTAATAAGAATAATTAGAAGGTCAGTGGTTCTAACCTCTGCTCTTCCCCAAACCAAAGATCCTAAACCCCCCATGTGTGTGTGTGTCGGTGGGGGCTTTTGCCTTTATTGGACAGTGACAGTGGAGATGGACACAAAAGAGCGAGAGAGGGGGGGGAAGACACACAGCAAAGGGCTGCGGGTTGGACTCGAACCCTGGCGGCTGCTTTCTGGCCTTACAGCATGTGGTTGCCTGCTCAACCAAAACCCCAGGTTGACCCTGAGGAAGTTATTGGTGTGTTTGTGTAATACATAAAATGTTGTATGTGCAGAAAAAGCATTTCTCCTGTTGTGTAAAGTGTTTTGGCCCATATAATCCGAAAAGCACTATGTAAATATCAGTTTAGTTTATGAAGCTCCTGCAGCAGTGGATTCTTCACCAGGACCGTTGCCATCACTCTCCTTTAACTTGTCAGTAAATGTTGTGTTGAATAGAGGATGAGGTTAACAGTAACTGGTTGTCATTGATCCTTGTCTCTGTAACGGTGTATAAGCAGATGCCAGTAGGATCGTAGGTCGACTCCACTGTTCTCTAGTCAGTGTCTTATTTCTCGGTGGCCATATTTGCTTTATACACTGGAGTCTGAAGTCTGTTTTTGTGCCTACATCAGATAGTCAGCTATACTATCCTATTCTCTCTTTTTACATCTTGGCATTTTTAAAGTTAAACCTCCTGGTGACAGTAAAGAAGTCCTGTGTGTACCTCAGCAGCTATAATGTTTTATTACATAGAAATCCAGTAATGTATACAACAGAGTTCAGCTATTTCACCGATCCATACGGCAGATGTCTCATTTTGTCAACTGACACAGGTTTCATTTGGTTTGAATTTTATCTTTGTGCCGTGTGATCTCGCTGAAATGTGTCTTCAGTTGCCCCCATTAAAGTTGGCAGGGAAAGAAACGGGAGCAATCTCACATTGGCTCTGAGTTCATACCAATTATGTCTAAGGCCAACGCATGACTCAAAAAAGAACATATGATCTTTCCCCCGGTTCCCCCTGACTGACAATTCTATTCTCATTTGCTGATTTACTGTTTCAGATCAACATTACAATCACATTATTGCAAAAAGATGAAGCGAACGCTCTCACACACACGAGGTCCAAGCCACGAACAGGCCAAACTGAAGTCGTCTTGTTCTTCGATTGAGTAATCTTGCAGACCAGATGGAGTTCTCTCCATTTAAATGACTCATCATCATTTCTTGTAAACATTTGAAGTTTATTCTTATCGTTGCTTATTTTTCTCAGCTTCGGCCCTGCCCTCACCTGGAGCAGGATGTCCTGAGCGACTGTCTGTCCATGCAGCACCTCCAGAGCTCCACCTCTACGCAGCACCTCTACAATGGCAAAGATGGCCATTCTCCTGCATTGGGCCAAGACATGTTCACAGGTACACACCTGTCATCTGTCATTCTCAGATCTTCCTCTAATAATTGATCTCTTAATTAATCGGTTTCTTTACCAATAAAACAACTCAACTTTCCACTTATTTTTCTCATAAAACGAACAAAAATTGAAGTTCGGTAAGAAAACATGTGGCATAAATACAAAATATAATGTGTCACCAGTAGTAGCAACATCATTCATGGTTAAACAATTTCAAATATGAGTGAAATCGACTGGCCACATCTCAAAACATCGAAGCCCAGGGAGTATTTGTTCCAAAGCAGAAGAGCACGCCAGCAAGTGAGGTCCAGACCGCCAGAAATCCCAACACCTGGCAAAGCAATCACCGAGTCATTGGTGGTAATCAGCAGCCATGTCAACATTCCTGCAGATGTATTGTGGTAATTCTGCACTCTCAGGCAGTGAAAATCATACTTGGTGGTGCCTTTGGTCAAAAGATAAACAATCCACACCACATAATTGAACTTTAATTGCTCGTGCACATTTTATATCAACATTTTAGCCGTTAGTCCATACTTGAGTTTATAAGGGAAGTGTTACAGCCTTGTGCTTTTGTTTGTTTGGTTTGGATTTCATAACCATGTCATGTTAACCTGTCTCCCTGTCATGCAAAGACTGCAAAAACCATTAGCAGCCACTAGAACTGGAAAAGTTTATTCATCACATGTGGCCTTTAAGCTTCTTTTAAACGTCCATTTTTCTAACTGATGAGTTTGACCGTCACTAAAAGTCAGCGCCACACTGAATTGGGAACAAGAGAGAGATAAATGGATTATAACCATCCTAAAGACGAGAGAGATTCCCTGCAGCTTCCTCCCTTTATGGACACATCTGTCCTTGTTTTCTGCCTCTACCACAGCCAGGCTCCCCACTGTTGTCTGTTATTGTTGCTGGATCTCGGCGCACCGTTGATGACTATGAAAGCTCAACTTCTTGGCTCTTTACCTCTGCTCCCCTCTCTTTCTGAGAGATGTTGCTTTCTGTCTTGGTTTAAATCATTTAAAGCCCCAGAGGAGCTAAAGCAGTCAAGGACGCCGTGTTATTCGAGGTCAGAAAAGGTTAGACTTCAGGATCTCTATTTACACGACTTTCTCTTTGTTCTAGAGCCAATAGGATGCATGTAAGTAGTGGGCCAAAGTGGGCAGCCATCCCATCATTAACACTTGTGGAGCAGAAAATGAGTCATGCTTCCAGTCAGAGCTAAACTTGTTTTCCTGTTCACTGCTTATAAGTCTGTTCCTATTCACATGTCTGCAGCAAGAGTTACGAGAACCCCCCCTCTCTGTTTTATAGAGCATAATTAGAGTGTTCCCTGATTAACCAGAGGAAGGACTCATCATAGTTGAGTACAGAGGTTTATGTGCTCCTGCTGCTATCCTCTCAGTTTCTTCTCACAGAGATTTCTTCCTGAACTCAACAAGAAGCTTTTCAAATCCGCTCGACAGCGTCTTTGGTACATAATCCCACTCTAACTCTTAAAGAGCAACATCAGATCCTTTTTGTCTTCCTCCACAAGGAACTGGTGATGAAATTGAGGCAATCACAGCCATTATTTGTCGACTGTTTTGCCGGTGTGCTAGCAGATGTTGGGGCTAAAGGGGAAAACATTTAAGGTCTGTGATTGATGATTTCGGGGTAATGAATCAAGCTTGTAACCATTTCAGAGCGCTGTCAGATCAGGCCTCGGCATGCTTCCACTTGAGAACAGCTGGCCTGAAAACTGCAAAAACCAGGAGCACCCATCTTCCCTCTTCCTTTCATCTCCTCCCGTCTTCTGCTCTCGTTGCCGGTTAACTGCCCCAGACAGTCAATGTGCTTCTCGCCGTTTGGATGCTGGGAAAGAAATCAGCTGCTAAACTTAGCAGAAGATGCAAAGAGGAAAAAAAGGAAAGATCAAGTTGACTCTTGCTTAACAAGACTGTCCAGAGTGGGGCAGGCAGTTCTCGTCCCTGTGGATGATGATTTTTGATTAAATTAAACTGGTAGAAACATGACTTTGAGATACTGTCCATCTGGTGTAGATTTTGGTGGTGGTTTTTTCTTTTTAGGCCTGGCACGTCCTCCGTTTCTTCAGTTTGTTCAAGTTCTGCGAGCACACACTGAACACCATGTCAACAAATGCCAAGTTTTTTTTTTCCAACAATATCTTTATTATTTTTACATTTTAATGACTTACAAACAGTCCAACATTCTAAATACTACATGAACTCCTCTCAGACAGCAAAAAGAAAACAAAAACGTCATCCGATTTATCACCCTGTTAAAGGCCTAAATTTATCATTATCCCAAATCAAATGTCATTGCCCTCAGTCCTCGTCCTCCTCAGATAATACAAATCCTTCTACAAAATTCACAAATGGTCTCCACACCTTCTCAAAAACATCTAATTTCCTTTTCAGTATACATGTCATCCGCTCCAATGGCAAAGCCACCATCATTTGTTTTATCCACTGTGTGATACTCGGTTCCCTTGTTCTTTTCCATTTTAGTGCGATTCAAATGCCAAGTTTTATAGCTGTGTGAGAATCACCGCGTTGGTGCAAAAAAATACTATTTTGTGTAAGTCAGACTGTATTTTTTTGGCCTTTTTTTAACTAAATAAATTAGAATAAAATATGTGTTTTTGTGACAGGCTCATTTAAGTTGTTTGCCGTCTTCCTCTGAAAACGGTTGGGTTCAATGACTTGACTGAAAATGAGTCAAAAAGCACCAATGTCCAAAGAACGACTTTTACAGACCTTCAGAAATCCTGGAGAACTGTTGCTCAAGATGTCTTTAACCCTTTATTGACCAAGATTTATGCAGGTCTGAGGGATACATGTATGGTAACGTGAATGTGGCTGATTTTTTTCCTGTCTGTGTTCGAACAGTGCCTTGTGATACCGTAGTGCACCAAACATAAAGTTTGTCTTCTCTTCTTTCTGAAACAAGGTGGATTTTGTCTCCAGCACAAACAGCAGTGGAGTTGGGATCATTTAAAAAGTGCTTGTAAAATGGGCCTGCCGGTGGACCCGTGTTAAATGAAGCGTTAGAAAATTACGAGAGCGCCAGTGGAACCAAAATATACAGAAATGAGGGAAGGCTCAAGACTTGTGCACAGTCGTGTGGATCTCCAAAGTCTAACTAGCCACATGTTAACAGCAGTAAGACAGTAACAGTTCCACTCGTTTGTTTTATCCTTTTAAAATGAACACCCCTGGGATTCATTTTTGGAGAAAACAGCCTGTTTTTTGTTGTCAAATTGGGCTTTGGAAGCATCTTCGCTGAAGATAATAATAGTAAAAACAGTTGTGACAGTTATTATTTGCAGTTCCTAGTTTGCAAAGAAGAAAAGGAGTCCGTATTTAATAACAGTTTGCAGCTTGAAACAGTAGAAAAGGTTGGCAACATGCAACCAGTAAAAGAAGATAATAATGCCCCCACAGACCGGTGCATCAACAACATGTAACTGTAATATCATTTGGAAAAACTGAAATGATCAAAAAGTAAAAGACATATTGGAACAGTCAGCAGATTATCACATGCTCTTCTGCAGATTTCCTTATATCATATATTTGTAGCTTTAAAGGACCTACTGTTCAAAGTCACTGAACACATGTAACATTTTAGTTTATTATTGTGTAACACGAAAAAGGACAAACAAGGCGAGTCCCTGTGGCAGCACAAACAATGTACCCTAAATTACACACAGCGCAAACACAGAACTTTTTATTTTACAAAGCACACTGATTGGATGAAAGTTGTCAAAACAAAATCCTGTTGCCATGAAATGGCTTTTAATTTGCTCGAGGGAGAGATGAAGCACGGGGGCCTTGAGTTTATTTGGCACGTTTACCGAATTAGCTTTGTTTGTCTTTCAGGCCTGTACACTGGCTCCAGTACCCCCCATCACAGCGCCCCAGTGGAGCTGCTCACCCCCACCCCCAACTCTGGCTCCACCGCTGACCTGCCGACCCGACAGCACCGACTGGATCGAGACCTCGGCAGCCCTCACCACCTGTCCCCGCTGGCTGCCATGGACGGCACGAGAGACGGGTGAGTAACAAGCCCTCGATTTGTATTTAGACGCTGAGGTATGTCACTCCGAAGGTCTGGGTCGCTGGGAAACTAGAGATGTGTCATGAAGGGTGGGAAATGTAAACATGAATCTGATTAATGAATGAATAATCCTGCAAACAGTCGTGGACGACTTTGTCACAATTCTGTCATATAATTGAAGTCATATCACATCATGTTTTGAAAAGGTCAAAGGACACCGAGTGTTTGTTTGACTGCATACAAACAACGTGTACGACAAAGTTCAGTGAAAGTGCAAGCGCTGTTCTTCTCTTAAGACGTTCCCTGATATTATGATTACACTTTACTGCCTCCATTATTTTTCACCTATTTATCATCCCGAGTCCCGGCCGAACCCTCTTAGCTCATGTTAGGTTAAGCCTCGTGGCCCTGCTGACAAACCCATCTTGGCTTTCTTACTGGAAACAAAATCAACTTCTCAGCTCCTTTGACGTCCCTCGTGGGAAGACGGGCAGTGCTGGTCACCACGCGGTCAATGTGACACATCACCAGCTCTGTTTCGAGCGGTCACGGTTCACACTTTGGTGAGAGTATCAAAGCCGTGTGATAGCATCGTCCTCTTGTGTTTATGTCCTGTGAGCTCTTTCACCATCGAGCGGTTCTCTTTAAAAACCTCGAGATTACATTTTATAGACCTTGATGTACTGCTGTTGTTCAGCTATGCAACAAATGCAAGCAACACAATGACGTTTAAACCAGTTATGCATCTTTCAGGTAATTGTGAAAATAAGCACATCTGGAGATACTTTTAAGAAGCAATAAAACTGAATACGGTTTAGTAAGAATACCAGTGTTGCTACATCTTTAGTCAAGACAAATGTGCTTCCACTGAACCAATCCATGATCCCGGGAATTCATTAATTAACTGTATCTTTGCAGAGCTCCCGCTTAAAGTCGACGCAAACATTTCAAAAGACGACGCACGAAACCCGCAGCTCCTCCAGGTGCGACTGCCTTGCTCAGCAACAGCTCGAGCAGCTCTTCTCGTGCATCTCTGAGTGTGTGCATGTGTGTGATTTGCAGGATGTTTCCTATTAGTGCTGATGATTTCCCCAGAGAGCCTGCAGAGCAGAGTTACAGAACCCGGGTGTCGTCAGGAGGCACAGTGTGTGCTGTGCTAAAGCAATGTGTCTAAAAACCAGGGAGGTAGGGAAGGAAAACAGTCCTGTACAGTTTAATAACATTGAGAAAGAGTGGATGGAATCAAGCATCATAAACTGTGTTACAAAAGTGATTGTGTTACATAAACATGCTTTCTTTTAACTCCGTGCTCCCCTCTTTGGGTGTATATACAACACCCGCATATTACAGAATGATCTTTGATGGCTTCCTTACTTTAAAGAGCTGCACATACATTTGTACTTATGTGTGTGTGTGTGTGTCTCCGTGTGTGGGGGCGAGTTTACATATCCAGGAAATACACGTGATTGGTTATGATTGGGGTGTGAGGTACAGCAGACCGCTCGCCATCCAGCACAAACAGAGCAGCCGAGCGGAGCGGTGAAACCGCCTGGATGTAAACGTCCGAGCGGCACTCAAGAGACGTCGGGATGGCCGGGAAGCATCTGGAAGCTGGTGTGTTGTTTCAAGCCTTGAAAGCAGAAGGAGAAGCCTGTCAAAATTACCTCGCGGCTCCTGTGGCTCTTTTCTCAGCAGCACGCACAATTAGCAGTGCGAGCACAGGCATGGAAAGTGAAAAGGACTTTGTGAGGGGATACTCGGCTGCACAGGCAGGGCGACATATTGGAAGTGAGAGTCGGACTGCGTCTGCTCCTGTCCGTACTTGATGAGGAACATGCCGGTGCAGCTTGGTGATAGTGCCCCATGTGGTCCAATGACGTAGCTCCCTTTTCATGCACATCTTTGCGTCCCCAACTTAACTCGAGTAATGTGACGACAGCATTGCATTAAAACGACAGCAATTCCCAAATTTGCACATTTCAGCAGCTCGAGATGACCTAAAAGAGCTTTCACGAAGGCACATGCTGTAGAGCTCTATCTGTTGATCACACGGTATAGACGGAGGGCGGGGGCGAGGCGTCAGACCTGCAGCAATGTCTGCTTGCATTTGCCTGAAGATGGAGCGTTTGATTTACATGTTTAAAGCCTTAAGTATACAGGCTGTTGCCAAAGTCAATATCAGCACTGCATTTGTTTTTCCCCAAACGGTTTAGCAGGACATTAAACATTTTGACAAAATTATCAAACTAACCTTCCTCCGGTGTGGCAGCCTCTGACCTCACGGCTAAATGTGTTTACCCTGGCTCAAATGGGCCATTTAGACTCCTTTTACTTTGTAAATACCAGTGTCATTTTTCTGAAGCTAATATTAAGATATGCCAGTTAAAATACACCTAGCAATCACTGCGGCACAAGTGTGCGCGCAGGGCCCCTCTCACAGAAACGGTTGTTCGACCACGGCGGCCTCCGAGCACAGAGAGACGGGTGGTAAATGTTGTCATTCACTGCTTCACCCGAGTGTGGTTATATAATTGCAGAGGGGGTGGGGAGCTGCAGCCTTTACCTGCGTATTGATATTAGAGCCCCTCTGCAAATATTAGTCTGAGGCGGTTTGATACCTCGGCAGTGATTGACGCAGGCTAATTGGATTAGAGTGGCAGCACAGTCGGCACAGAGCTACATTAAGAGTTCCCGCTCTGGAAGGGGGCACGTTCACGGCTTGTAACTCTACACTGTCTTTCTTCCAGCCATTATCGTTCTCCAACCAGCCAGAAAATGAGTGTCAGTCTCAAAACCCAAACAAAAGCATTTTTGAGGTAGTCGCTCATGGCAGTATGTGGTCAGTCACTCATTTTGCGGGCCTCAGTTAATAATGTGTTGCCTTCAATTAACCCGACTACACAAACGGTTAACTGGGAGAAAAGATTCAGATGATTTACAGTAAGAATTCCTCAGAGTAGGAGACTATAGTGATTAAAGGTGGATCTGCTCAGTTTGGGGCAGATATCTTTCTGGGACTAACGGAGGCTGGGGCCTTCGGGGCTGGCTTAGCTTTAGCTTAGCTTTAACCAGGATGCTGTTGTCTGTGTCTCAAACACTGTTTTAGTTTGCTAACCAGAAACAGAAGCGTTCCCACCGATCTGTGCCAAAGAAGCCCCTGTCATCCATCAGAGGGGCTTAATGGTCGGCTGCAAAAAAGTGGGGGGAGACGAGAGGGGAGGCGAAGGGTGTTTTGGGGAGTTTGCAGGGCCTGTGGAGAACAGGGTCTTATTCCCGCTCCCTAGTGGGACAGTTAGCTGCAGGTGAAGGAAGATGAACGAGGAGCAGATCAGCACTGTTCATGAATCTTCATGTTACTTTCCATCCCATCATGCCTCCATGCAGGGAGCCAAGACTTCACGGGTAGCTTATCTTTATTAAGATGAGCTGTAATGTTTCTGGACAATAGCTGCAGGCTAGCGGAGATGACGTCCATGCCCGCATACCTGAGTACAAGCAATTTTATGACTTCAGGGCGGCTTCAAACAGCCCAGGTTTGAATGTCCCTCTGATCTCCTGGTAGCATTTCAAACGGCAGAGTTTAGTCACCTACCTCATTCCTCTGAATCACAAACCATCCAGTCAAGTTAAAAAAGCCTCTGATCTGAAATGAGCAACGATTTCCCATCTCTATAAGTAAACTTTTTCCAGCACAGGTCAAAGTTTACGTTATTCATCAGTATGTTAGCATTTTTGAAATCTTCAAATTCCTTCTTTGTAAAAGAAATATCAAAGCCTCAGCTTACTATCCCCTCCTATTCTAGCTTCAGAAATCATAAGGTCAGGGGTCAAATCCCTCTGTCCTTACATTAGGACAGAGGTGGGGTGACCGGGAAAAGCAGAGAAGTGCAGGATGGTCAGTGAAGGTGAATTTCAGGGAGAGATTAATGTGGCATATGAAAGATTCCCCTCATACCTTGAGCTTGAGTGGCTAGCAAGCTAGAGCAATGCCTGAGGCAGCTGGCAGTGATTAGCTTATGATTCACTTTAGCTACACATAGAGGCAGCTTGTAAAAATATGAACAGTATAACTGTTTCCTGAGTTTGTGCTGACAGCAGCTCCTGGGGGAATGGTGCTCTCTGCAGGAACACATGGCCACGCAGCGGCGCCGTGCCAGCACATGGATTAGCCAGGCTCGCAGCGCTAGCTTCTCCAGGGCTGGAGTCACACAAGGTGTCACACAAGCACCGTCAGGTTTGTGCTGATGGGCTCCAAAGGCAAGGGCAGCAAGGAGAAGGCACCTTAAAGCCTTAAACAGTAATAATCAGCAATCCTGCCACCTCGATTTGAACTTGTATTTCAAGGTTTCAAGGTGAGTTTTTGAGAAAGGTTTTACAATACTAAAAGTGGCTATATAGTATGTAGTCCTTTACATTACAAACATCTACCTGAGTGACGCATCAAAGGATATAAAAGCAGTTCAGTTGTTGTGTTATTAGAGTTTAATTAGTGAGCTAAGATGTAAAAAGAATCACTTTCATAAGCTCAGTATTCTTTCTGTATAAAACCTATATCTGCATTGCCATTTTCTGACAAATAAAACAAACGTGCTTTATTCTCCTCGTAAAATAAAGAGGAATCAAGGTAAGTAAAAGTAAGCATGGTTCCTTTCATGTTCACTCGCTTCAGGGTCTGTTTTTCAACCAGAATTCGTGGGAACTGTTTTTACATTTATGACACAGGTGAACAGACAGGAGCAACAACACGACCTTTCTTACAGAACCGAAGCCAAGCTGTATTTTCTGGATCCAGTTTTATGATGAGCACCGTGATAAATGTAGAAGCAGCGGAGCCTGAAGCGATGTACGGCTAAATAAAATGTTAAATAATTCAGCAAGAAAGCCTTCCAAGTTTTTGCACTTTCGCTTGACATCGTTTACCGTCTCCTCTTGATCGGTGCTCTCTGCCAAATGCCCCGCACGAAGCCTCTGCCAGCTACTGAGTGCTGGGTGGGACGCCCCTCGTGCATGGAGCAGTAGGTCATATAGCAGGCTCCAGCCAGGCCAGCAATGAGCAGTCATCTCTGGGCTCAGCTGCCTCCAGCAGCTCTCTGTCATCACAGTCATATAGCGCTTAGCACAAACCATATGCCCCTGCAGCACAGCGCACATAGTAACACAGCAGCAGTTTATGTGTTGGCATTCCTGATATGCAGTAATAAGTAGCTGCTGAATATTTGGGGAGGCGACTGGGCAGCTCCATTTTTTAAAAGCAGGTCTGTTGTCCATCAGTCTGGATTTGGACCAGCTTTCTGTTTCATTAAGTTAATGTCAAGTGTACAACATTAAGTCGTTAAATCGCTCATTTTGAGTTTTGTGTAAACTTTAACATCCAGGCAAGTGTCTGAATAAATACCAGACCTGGTTCTTACTGCTTCTGGATGCATTTATTACCATGATGTGATGAAGGCATACATTAAATCCACTTTTTTCCTCCTGTTTGTTTAAGCTTGGCCTGATGTGGCCTTTACAGTAAAGGAATAATCATTCACTTTTTTGCCAGCGTTACTTTGAATATAAAACTAAAGCTGTCTGAAAACGGGGAAACCATTAGTCTGGAGGTGGAGTCTGCCTTCCAGCACCTCCAAACATCAATAATGAACAAGTCACATATCGTTTGTTTCACCCTTGGCTTCTTTCATTTGTTTTATATTTTGTTCGGTTTTATTGATTAAAAAAGTGTTGCAGCCATTTAAATTTTGGGATGGTGGTTGATGTGTTTTCCATTTCGAGTCAACGAAAGAACGAATAAGCATGTTTTTCTGTCTGCTCTCGCTCCTCAGTTTGTCCTTAACAATAAACAACCAAACCTAACTTTAGTGGAATAAAGGTCAGTGCGGTAGCCTCAGCACACTGTTGGTTGTGTGTTTTATAGGGCTGCCACAAACGATTATTTTGATAGTCGACTACTCAGATCCACCATCCATTGAACGTAAAACATACAGCTTATTGCACCAGCAGCATCTGCTCTTATATAACTATCATTAGCTTACAGCTTTAAGTGTTTAAGGTATGTGCTAACTAAAAATAAAGACAAGATGATAGTTTATTAAATTTTAATGAAATTTGCAGATTGTTTCGGTGAAGTTTAATAAACTCCTTGCTATCTAAAATATAACAGGACACCGGAGTATATTCTCCAGCATCTCACACTTCTGATGATCAGCTGTCTGCTTGACATTTATTCAGCTGTGTAAAAACTATAACTTTAATCTCAGCCAAACCGATTTACTCAGGAACAAATAAAATACTAAAAAAAGCCAAACAATAACATTGTTAAGTTCTCTAAGTGACTCATATATGTTTAACCTGAGCAGCGAAAGACGGCGGTGGGTTTGAAAACGATTTGCAGGGAGTCCGGTGTTCTCACGGTGCTAGTGACCTAGCCCCCGGCTAGCTATCGAGCTAGTGGGTAACAGACGTCTCCGAAAACGTCGGAGCGCTTTTGAAAATATGCGGTGTCTTGATAAACTGAGCAGATATTTGAGGTTTACACAGCTACATTCTCGCCTGAAAATATGTTAAATGTTTATTTTGTGACCCAGAAAGAATAATAAGAGTAATATTAAAGCTAACTAGCTGCCGCCATTGTTGGAAGCTGCGCTATGAATTCTGGGACACAGCTTCTTCTTCGGGGTTTAACGGCAGCTGGCATCCTTGTACATGCAGTGCTGCCATCTTCTGTTTCAGTCCGTTATTACACTCTTAAATCCTGCTACTTATTCCTGCGTCTTTTGTGATCTTACAAAGCTTCAAACAACGCGTCGACGATTAAATCAGATTAGTCGACTAGTCACGATTACATCGAAGTAATCGTGACTAGTCGCCTAATCGTGGCAGCCCTAGTGTTTTATGAGGAGACTAAATCGCCATTGTGTTGGAGGCATCTGAAAGTCAGCATGCGGACGCAGAGTGTCCACGCCAGCTCATACGATGCTGAAGGTCATTAAGGGTAACTTGCAGTAATCTCCCAGCATATATTTAGCAAAGTTATATTTGTTATTTTTAGACTTTTAAGACTAGGACCACCAAACCAGCAACTTCCTTTTTACCACGTTTCTTTCATTACTTGTCATTATGCAGCATCAACATCAGGACTAAATCTGAGGGAATGGAAACAAATTCAAACTATTAGTAATGAAGTCAGACTGCAGTGTGATTTAGTTATAAGTTACTTTTCTAGACAAACTAAGCTTGAAACTCAAATTCCATTGAAATACTTCAATCATCTTTGAGATCAGGAGATTGACAGACTGTGTGGCATCAGTAGTAATATGGACTGTATATGTTTTACTGGATGTAGAGAGAGCTTAGGGTGGATGCAAAGCTGTGGATTTTTACTGGTCAAGCTGCCTCCCTCCCCTCACCTGTGATCATGAGCTCTGACCAAAATAATGAAATTACTGATATAAATGGCAGAAATGGGCTCTCCCTTAGAGATAGGGCGAGACCAGTGGAGGCCCACATGGAGCACCTTGTTGGCTCCATGGAAGAGCTGGGGGCTCTGGATGTCCCTGCTTAAACTGCTACCCCCACTACCAGTCATCCTGTCATCAGAAGATGGATGGATGGGTCATAGTCATCATGACAGCAGGAAACTTCACGTTAGAAAGTAAGATGTGGTGATGAAGCACATTGCAGTTTTCTGATGTCATACTATAGATTTTGCAAACTCAATTAGTTCAACTGGCACCGAACAGCGAAAACATTTCATAATTTTGCTTTGATTTCAAGATTTGATGTCATATTTGTGGCTTTTCCAGCACAGAGTGCACCTCTTAAATGCAGAGATTGAAGAAAAACCAACTCCGTTTAGCCAGGACTGGCACCGTGTGAAGCTCGGAGATTTGCTGCTGCTGTATCGAATGACAAATGGGTCCAATAGCACAGAGGCATCTTTACCTAAAATATCATTATCTGCACAGGCTGGAGTCCACAAAGTCTCAAACACGTTAACTTAATATTTCTTCACTTAAATGTCATGAAGGTAAACAGGGGTTGTATTTTTTTTCTTCCCCGGCCACAAAGCCAAGGGTTACTGCACTGGTGTGTGTTCCCTTCAACGCACACTCTGCTGTTTGTTGACTTAAGATCATAATATGCGGTAGGAGGAAGATTACGTGTGGGGAGCCCAAGTTTCCACATGCCTGGACTGTTTCTTCTTCTATGTGTGTGCAGGATCACTGACTGCTCCGCTGGGTTTGTTGGATCATGTGGTTAGCAGGCCGGCATGCAGCTCCGGCTTTGATTGGGATGTCACAGTGCATGAAGCATTTTATTGAGAAACTACTGAGACTGTCAAGAAAGGAATGACTTTAAATTGAGAGCTTTTTATTCCTAGTTTCTCCGTGTCTGCTTCAGGGTGTCTGGTTCCCTCCTGTCTCCTGGGATGAAGACAGCGGGGACATCGCCTCCTCCACTGGAGAAACAGCATGTCCACCCTCACCACAAGCTTTACCCTCACTATCACCAGCATCAGCCTGCCAGCGACGGTAAGGCTAACCCCGACACTCAACGCAGAATGCAGCTTAACTTCTTTCAGGAAATCTGTTTTGGCTTGAATTTGAATCACTTCCTGCATGTTTCAATTTAATATCCTAAAATGGTTCCTGTGGCAGGTGATTCAGTAACTCTATGATTTCCTACGATAGGAACAGATCACCTGAAGATAATTACAATCTGAACCCAACTCTGCTCCTCTTCCAAAAGCTGCAGCACTCGCTGCCACATAAAAGAGAGAGGAAGTTGTCTCTTAGCGCGCCGATACAGCCCCGCAGTTCTGTCGGACCGTTTTTAGGACCCCGAGAGATTCGAGTCGTAGAGACAGAGTGGGGAAAACCACATGCCGGAAGCCTTTTCCTCGTGCTGAATTAGCCAACAAAATGCTGGCTCGTGTATTCGGCCGTCTCTCAGCGTCCTAACATGGCAGGTTCAGCTGTCACTCCCGAGCATTTTTCCTAATGCCTTAAACACTGTTTTCACTGTAAAGATCTACACATGGACGTCTCTCAAACCACGCTGTGGTCAGCCAGTTGCGTAAATGCGCTCCAGGAAGGGCTGCTTTCCCATTATCATGACTCCTGCGGTTGATCTGGATCACAAACTCAGACGATGGGGACAAATGCTGCATACCGTGTAGCCTGGCAGTGTTAGCACAAACACAAATATAGCATTGTCATAACTTAACCATATTACGTTTCAGCCGGATGGACCGGGCGGTTAGTGACAGTGGAAACAGTCCCTCTGTAATGGCAACTGATGAAGTCCAGCTTCTATTTTTCTCTCTCCCTCTATGATTCTCCAACATTTCTTAGAATACCAAGGCAGCTTCCAGAGCTGCTTCCATTTCGGAGACTCCTACAGGATGGAGCAGACAGTCGGTGGCGTCCACGTCCCGGGAGATTCTCACACCTACACTTCACATCAGCCCAATGGCTTCCACATGTCGACGAGCAACACCGGCTCTGCGGGTGAGGATGATTGTCCTCTTAGCCTGTGTACAGGCTGAGCTGCAAGTATCACCATTTAATCAGCATATTAAACAAACTGTTCTTCCCTGCATCTGTTCCAGGCTTCAGCTTGACCCAGGAGCTGCAGGGAGGCGGCGGTTGCCAGTTCTTATCCAGCCCAGAGGATAGCATTTTCTTCCAGGTGGGCAGCTTTGACCGTAGCTTGAGCCACATGTCCTCCATCTACACAGAGACATAAAGGAACACCGGAGCAAGACAGGCTTCACCACACTACTCCGCGGTCCTTCCTCATGCATCCTCACACGCTTAGATCTTTTTTTCTTCAGTTCTGGTTTCATTTTTCCAAAAACAGAACAAAGATCACATTGTAAGTGGGTTATTCTGACTTAAGTGCAAGATAGAAACCAATAAAGTGGAAAAAATAAGGCTAAATATAATGTAAATGCAACTGTGACACTGAATGGAAATGGCTTCAGTGGCAAAAACAATGGTAGTGTTTCCCAACCTTTTTTTTTCCCTCATGACTCCTTAAAACATTAAACTGTCTTCTTATGATTGCGCCTACTCAGCTGCATCTGCTTTGATCAGTTCAAGCAAACAAATACTGACTTCTTTTGTACAACATGAATAACTTCAAAGGCCAATGTACAAGTAATAACACTAAAATAAGCACGAGACTACAAAAAGGTTTGAAAAAAGGACACCAGTGTTTGAATAGTCTGATAATGGGGCACCCCATCATGAACAGTCAGATATTTCTATTTCTATTATGGAAACTTCCTGCAGTCTTTAAATCCGTTCTAATTCATGCTAATGCTAATTGGCATTCAGACTGAAAAACTAAAATCCTGTTGGGTTAAAGGTCCAAGTTACCAGGCTGCAAACTGCTGGACACGATCGGCAAATAAATGATGTTGTTGATGGTGCAGGTTTTAGTCTGTAATGCGCCTCGAGGCTACAGCTGTTGGCGCTATATAAATAAAACTGAATTGAATTAAATGTTATTAAATGACATTGACATTAAAACCTGCACACAGACAGTACAATCAGCTCGAGCTTCTACATACAACATCTCATTTTAACACCACAAACCTCTCCTCTCCTCCTCTTTGTTTTTTCTCGGTAATCTACACGTCTGCTCCACACTGACGTGTAGAGGAGAATATAACGTTTTGCAGTGACGTTTTATCAGTGGGGAAAAAAAGTTTGCATTTCTCTTGTTAAGTAGTTTTGGGTTTTTTTGGCTTTTGGATTTATCTCGGGAGGAGGGTTTGGGCAGAGAAACCATCCTACTTTATTATAATTATTATTATATGTATAAAATGTACAGTTTGTTTACAGCAATCATTTGAATGTTTGTCATTCCTCAGTTTAAGAAATAAATAACTGAATCATCACGCAGTGTCTCTTTTTTTAAAAACAATATAAATGACAGATGCTTCAGCTGCTCACATTTGTTCTGTGTTTATTATATTGTTTGTTTTTATAAAGACAACTACGTAACAAATGCAACACACCAATGCATTTATAGCCCGAAATATTGTGCAATGTCAGTCCCCAGAGCTAGTTGTGTGTTGAGCACCCTGAGAAAAACTTTCACACTGTGGACATGTTGCGCCCTCCAGTGGTCGCTGCGGAGTACTGCAGATTTATTTTTTCAAAAAATAAACCTTTAATGTACATCATGTATAATGCCCATATATATATATATATATACATATATATATGTGTGTGTCTGTATTTTTTTTAAACCGTTGTGTTTCAGCTGTGTGTTGCCTCATCACGGCGTCTCATTTCTGCTTCTTCGTCTTCCTGAGGTAGCTCTGATAATAAAAGTTACTGAAGAGGATGATGAGGGTGATGCAGTAACCAACCACCACAGCATTCATGGCATCAGGGTAGTTGCAATCTGCGAACAGGTTGTACGCTGTGTGCACAACGATCAGGACAAATTGCACCTGGAGAGGCGACACAGTTCAGATCGGTTTAATCATTCGAACATGCTGGCGCGCACATTTTTGAATATCTCACTACAGAGCTGGAGACGCTCACCAGCTGCAGAGATGTCAGGTACCGTTTCCACCACAGGTATTTCTGCATGTGAGGGCCGAGTGCAGCCAGGCCATAGTAAGAGTACATTATAACGTGGACAAAGGTGTTGATCAGGCCGACGAAGAACGCTGCAGGAAACAACAGAAAAAGGTTTTCCACACAGAAAAGCTGGTTTAAATATATATTTGAAAAAGGATTATGGAGATGGAGCTGTTAGGCAAGCGGGAACGAGGAAGACCACTAAGAGGACTGGTGTGACAGAGAAGTATGCCAGAGATCGGGGAGGTGGAGGTAGATGAGCCACTGTGGCGACCCCTAAAGGGAGAAGCTAGTTAAAGCAGTGGAGCTAATTTTACTCTTAGTGGACTTTATGGTTGTTTGGGGGAATGATTTGAGGTCACAAACCTGAGGACAAAATATTTCAGTATCAGAATACTCACACTGTCCACCTGCCACATACTTTACTCCCGACCACCAGTTGAAGATCATCGTACTGTGATGGTAAACATGAAGGAACGTCAGCTGATTGTTCTTCTTCCGCAGGATGATCAGGAGCTGTACACAGAGAAATGAGCAAAGAGCTACAGCTAGCAGCTAGCAGGTTATATGCAATGCAGTCACCAGTCACCTTTCTCACTCACTATGTGTTAACAGACCTCTCTGCATTGAATCATATCTGTTATTAACCTCTGTCTCTCTTCCACAGCATGTCTTTATCCTGTCTTCTTTCTCTCTCCCCAACCAATCACAGCAGATGGCCCCGCCCCTCCCTGAGCCTGGTTCTTCCGGAGGTTTCTTCCTGTTAAAAGGGAGTTTTTCCTTCCCACTGTCGCCAAAGTGCTTGTTCATAGGGGGTCATATGATTGTTGGGTTTTTCTCTGTATCTATGAAGCGCCTTGAGACGACTTTTGTTGTGATTTGGCGCTATATAAATAAAATTGAATTGAATTGAAGTTTATGCAAACGCCTAACGTAAATGATCCCCATCTGTAGCTACATCATATGTGAGGAAAGAAAAGATATGACATATCAAACATGAGGTGCTAGTTGCTATGGTGATCTATGCCTTGAATAAAGCACCAGACAAAAGTATTTTTTCTTCTTCGCAGCTTTAGCAGACAGACACCACAGCATAAGGAAGGAGAAAAGTGCCTGTACTAAGGGCTAGAAGGAAAGGAACTGAACAGGAAGCATAAATACTGAAACATACTGAGAGGTGACAGATGGGTGAAATCAAAAGGAGTCATTTTGAGGGATGAAGAATAAAGAAAATAAGAGCAAATGAGAGAAAGTTAAATCATAGAGTCAGGGCAGCAATGAGTATTGAAAGAAAACGCAAAGCCGGTTGGTCCAGATAGAATGGACACGTGCAGGAGGAGCTGCGAGGTTTACTTGGAAAGTGAGACATTGTATGATTACTGGAAAAAAGAGACGGAAATTCCTAAGACTACGACTGTGCCTTTGGGGTATTAGGTGCATACAAGACTGTCGCAAAAGAAGAGCTGTACTGCATGAGGACACAGAGTAGCAGAGACGTATGTGATGAAGAGCACAATGTTAATCGTTTTAAGCTTTGGAACATCCTCGACAGAAACAAAAACTTACAGTCAGCACCACTCATTCAAGTAAATATTGCTGAAACGCTCCCACTTGCTAGTCTTTAAAAAAATGGTGACAGTGTGGACTTGAACCCCACGCTCTGCTTTAGCCTTACAGCAACGATTGTCTGCTCGACTGCATCCCCACCTGCTGTTCTATTCTTTGAAAATGTCTACGGGCCAACAAACATTTACAACATTTTTTTAATCTCGTTGTTTTTGAACAGCACCTAATGTGGCGGACCCTCCAAAGAGGGTCTCAGCATTGATCCTGAGAGTGACAGATGGGTTTAAGATGAAGGTTCAGTTACACTCTGAGCTTTTCCCGCTTCCAGTGGCAATGGAGAGGCTGATGGAGCAGAAAAGGTGATAGAGGATGAAGAAAAGGTGAAGAGGTGGAGAAGAGCAGGGTGGAGTGGATGGAAAACAATCAGGAGATACAAGCAACATTTAAAGGGAAGGTTTAGAAGTTGGTACGGAGGCGATGCTGCTGTGACACAGGATCAGGAAAGAGTGCATCAGCTTAGGTTGGGCTGTGTAGATACATACCGTGTCACTGAGCTCTATGACCTTAGAGAAGAAAAACCACCAGCACACTCTGGCCATCTGGGGAAAAGTGTAACTTCTGTATAAACTGTTTGTCAGGTATGTATGATGTGCATCAAACTTCTCAACAGACACACACACAACAAACAAACCACAAAATATACTCAATGCATAACTTTCTTACCCTCATTGCCAGCGGACTGGTGCTGTAATCTACAGGCTGACACAGCAAGCTGTAGTTAAGGAGCCAGGATGTAACAAGGAACTGAAAATAATCAGGCAGTTATTCATCTTCACATATCTCATGAAACGAGACTTTCTAAAACACAGTTATTAATAAATTAAATACTGTACAGAAGTATTTTAACATGTGTGCTTTGGGTCATGCAGTCAGGTTTATCAAAGTATTTGGAAAGTTTGCATCTGTTCACCACCACAATGGATTTTCAAGGATTAGAAAATTGAGGTTATTGACACTAAGATTTCCAGCTGTAGTTAAAGAGGTTAATGAGGATATTGCAGTAGCACTTCAAGAAGAACAAATAGATTTTTTTAAACATGTTCCTTTTTTTTAAGTAGTCCGATAGCTGACAACGTTTGGCTCACATCCTCATTTTTTATGACCAATATGAAAATGACAATACCCGAATAACAAGAACGAATTCATGTTGGGGAATTTATGAATTTGGGAGTGCTACTAGACTCGAAATTATCCTTTAAAAACACGTTTAAAAAGTAGTGAAAACTGTAAATGTTAATATACAGAACTGTAGACATATCCGCACATCATTAACAGACAGCAGCGACTACATTCCTGCACTCTGTGATACTGGCTCATATCCAATACTGTATCACTGTATTGATGTGTTTCCGTTATTGTTATCTATATTCTCCTCTGTGTCCACTCTTCTTGTCATTGTTTGCTCTAATATGATGTGATCACTGTTTTTAAGGTAAAACCCAACAATCAAGTGACACCCGCTGAGTAAGCACAGAACAAAAACCAAAAAAACTAAACAAAACTCCCTTTAACAGGAAGAAGCCTAAGCAGGCTCAGGGTGGGGCAGCGCATGTGGAGACAGTACAAACACAGACCAAGGAAGAGAGGACAAAAACTGAATGACACGCTGCAGTCGTGTAAAGACACGTGGGCAGAGAAAAGAGGGGAGTGGTGAAGAAGCGCTCAGTGCATCACATGAAGTACTGCAGCCGTCTGAGACAACAGCAGCGTGAGTGAGGATCGTTCAGGGTCACCTGATCTAACCCCAACTACAAGCTTCATCAAAAAGTAACGTTTTGAGTCTAATCTTAAAATTACAGCGTCTTTCTCATGAACCATGCATTTATTACTTCCAGGCTGGACGACTGCAATTCATTATTATCAGGATGTCCTAAAAACTCACTGAAAAGCCTTCAGCTGATCCAAAATGCTGCAGCAAGAGTCCTGACAGGGACTAGAAAGAGAGAGCAGATTTCTCCTGTTTTGGCTTCCTGTTAAATCCAGAATTCAAAATCCTGCTCCTCACATACAAGGTCTTAAATAATCAGGCCCCATCTTATCTTAATGACCTTGTAGTACCATATCACCCTATTAGAGCACTTCGCTCTCGCTCTGCAGGCCTACTTGTTGTTCCTAGAGTATTTAAAAGTAGAATGGGAGGCAGAGCCTTCAGTTTTCAGGCCCCTCTTCTGTGGAACCAGCTTCCAGTTTGGATTCAGGAGACAGACACTATCTCTACTTTCAAGATTAGGCTTCAAACTTTCCTTTTTGCTAAAGCATATAGTTAGGGCTGGACCAGGTGACCCTGAATCCTCCCTTAGTTATGCTGCAATAGACGTAGGCTGCCGGGGGATTCCCATGATGCATTGAGTTTTTCCTTTCCAGTCACCTTTCTCACTCACTATGTGTTAACAGACCTCTCTGCATTGAATCATATCTGTTATTAACCTCTGTCTCTCTTCCACAGCATGTCTTTATCCTGTCTTCCTTCTCTCACCCCAACCGGTCGCAGCAGATGGCCCCGCCCCTCCCTGAGCCTGGTTCTGCCGGAGGTTTCTTCCTGTTAAAAGGGAGTTTTTCCTTCCCACTGTCGCCAAAGTGCTTGCTCATAGGGGGTCATATGATTGTTGGGTTTTTCTCTGTATCTATGAAGCGCCTTGAGGCGACTTTTGTTGTGATTTGGCGCTATATAAATAAAATTGAATTGAATTGAATTGAATTGAACCCAACAATAGTAAGGACAGATGAGGCTTTGCTACAAACATCTAGACGGACTAGTTCTGGAACAAGATTCGTTGGACAGACAAAACTAAGACGAACGTTTAGCAGAAAGTGGGGAAGAAAAGAAGGATTCAAGATCCAAAACACACCACATCATCAGCCAAACATGTTGGAGGGGATGTTGTGACAAAAACATGTACGACCGCGAGTTAAACTGGTTCACTGGTGTTTATTGATGATGTTACTGCTGATAAAAAGAGCATGTAGTAGTCTGATGCCTATAGCGCTATAATCTCTTCCTGACCTGAACCCAACCTGCAAAGCACAGATTGGACACGGGTCTCAGTACCCTTTGAACTGAATCTATAAATCTTCTCTTCAATCACAGCTGAACTCTATATTTGAATTCATTAGGTTGGTGCACAGATGCAAGTACAGAGACATTGTGCCACTGTTCAAACACATCATTGCTTTGCTCATAAGCTGGTTGGTTAATCAGTTTCCCTGTTATAACAGAACAAAGAAGCAGCTTAAACACACCTCATGGCACATATACACAGACAGGCCAACCATGGCGAAGTTGTAAACAATGAGGACCACTTTGAGCTCAAAGGGTTCCCTGTGCTTCATCAGACGAGGGCCGGCCCAGATTACAAACAGATAAAGCAGGAAGATGAGCGTCACCGGGACTGGGGAGTAGACCAACAGCCAGGGGTCCGTTCTCTTGTCTGGACAGCAGGAATTGCAGGTTAGGTATAATTTAAAAATGACCAAATGTGTTAAAGGAAAGATCCAAAGTAAAAGAATGATTGGAGCTGCTGTGATCTCATGAATTTCTCACCAATGATTCCTGAGATGTGGTTTTTGTCTCAAGGCTGCTCAGGAAATGCAAAAAAGTGAACCTTGCTGTAACTTAGTTAATATGCACTCCCCGGCCACTTGATTAGGTACAGTGCTGGACCACCTTTTGCCTCAATTCTTCATAACACAGATTTCAACAAGGTGCTGCAAACCTTCAGAGATTTTGGTCCATGTTGACACGAGAGCATCACACAGCCGCTTGCATTCTCCCAACCCACCACAAAGGTGCTCTCGTGACATCTGGTGACTGTGAAGGCCCTTTGAGCACAGCGACCTGTTTAAACAATGATCACTTGGTACTAAGGGACCATGAAAATACCCCCACCAGAGATGGGCATGTAATCTGA